TTGCGCTAGACTAGTTGTGTTATACTTCTTTGTTCCTTTAGTTGATTTTCTATATGCTCTTTTTCTCTCTTTTCCTTCTATTCAATTCTCTCTTTTCTTGTAGCATTGTAAATTAATTACTATTTAACTGGGAATAAGCCACAATTATAGATAAAAATACGTTTATTGACGTTTCAATTTCCACTTCGGAAATCGTTCTCTTTCTTCGGAAATCGAAATTTCCATTTCGGAAATTCGGAGAACGATTTCCGAAGTGGAAATTGAAACGTCAATAAACGTATTTTTATCTTTAATTGTGGCTGATTCCAGTTAAATAGTAATAGATTCATAAATGTAGTAATTAGTAATTTAAGCATCTTTTAAAACATACCTACAGGTAACGACTGGTCCATTATTTATTTTTTGTGACTAAATGTACTATACCAAACCACAAAAAAAACTTTCTAATTTGATACGTTTTTCTGGAAATTATAATTCTATTCATTCAGAATCAATACGAGGTGTTGTCGAATTTTTTTTTTTTTCGTCTACATTAATGTTGTCTCCTTCAAAGTAGTCACCATCAAATATTATGCACTTAAGTTAATGCTTCTGCCAATCCTTGAAACTTTTCTTAAACTCGATCTTTGGGATAGCCCGTAGTTCTATCAACGATGTGCTCTTAATGTCATATATGCTTGTGAAACAAAGGCCCTTTAAAGTATTCTTTATTTTTGGAAATAGAAAACGTCACAAGGAGCCATATCTGGCGAATATGGATGCTGGGGCATCATTACAGTATTGTTTTTGGCCAAATATCTACGAACAAACAATGAAATGTGAGCTGGTGCATTATCGCCATGAGTTGCTTTTCCACAAATCCGGTCTTTTTTTCAGATTGCTTCACGCAAACGGCGTTGAACTTGTATGTAGTACTCTTTATTGACCGTTTGACCTAACCATCGAGCAAAAAGATAAAAGAGGGAATGTAAAGGTAGTGGGGACAAAAATATTGTTAGACAGGAAGTGCTATCTTGAGAGGCCACTTTAAACAAGGAAAGACACTCTCTTTCCTTGTTTAAGAAGTCAAATTTAGTTTGGTTATGTTATTGTTTGTCCCAACTGTCACATGAAATTTTATTTATATTTTTATAAGTTTTTTTACCAAGTTTATATTTATAAGTTTTTTTACCAATTATGTCACTTTTTAGACTATTATCGTTAATATTTAATTAAAACTTTCTTGTCTGAAAAATATTTTACAGGTATTGTTAACAAGTGTTGGAAAATTTAAATTTAGCGCCTTTGCATTTCCGGATATGTCCGCCATCAGAGGCCACTTTTTTGGTCTCCTTTTCATAACGATTAGATTCCCTCTTTTATCTTTTTGCTCGATGGACCTAACACAGTGAGCCTAATTTTCAAGTTCGACCGCACTTGGCGCTCAAGCCTTTTTTGGTCTTGGCGAACCAGAATGCTTACACTGGGACGATTGAAAGTTTCGAGTTCATATCCCTAAACCCATATTTCGTCACCAGTTATAACCCCTTCGAGTAAATCTGGTTCGTCAGTTCTATACGTCATTTAGTGACTCCTAAACAACTTCTATTGGCCGCTGTTTTTGTTTAAAATTCAACAACTTAGATATGCCTTCTTCATCAGCGACTTCTCTGTTTGTGATTCGGCGGTCGCTTATACCACTAGTAAACACTTGTTTTTTTTTTCATATCATGTTTACTATAGGCCTTTGTTAACATTTCACACACTTTGTTACGCTTTATTTAATTTTTTACGCAAAATTTAATACACATTATTTGATCCATTTTATTTAAATAAATAAAAATCATAAATGTTTATAAAGACCGTCTAACCTTAGCGGCTGCCACAGACAAGGTAAACAATGAATAAATCTACATTTGTTTTTGTACTTTAGGAGCATGTATACCAACATAATAAAACAATTTTTGACGATTGAAATCTCCAAACCCGCGAAATTTAAAAATTCCGGATAATTTTTGAACACATCTCGTATAACCTCAAAAAATAATAGCGTGACTTCATACACGAATTGAACGTATTCAGTCTTAAAGATGGAACTCTTTTAGTTTTAGAATATTTCCACAATCAATTAAAAAGGTCTTTTCAGCTGGACATCTATGTTGGGAATCAATCGATTTTGACGTGTATGAATATTTTAATAACATCATATTTTATGTTTTTTAAGTCTCTGTTTTAAGTCTTCATTGAAAAAAGTTTTATACGAGGATCCTTCGAGAAATACGTGGCCTAACACAGAAATGCGTAAATTCGAAGGAATCTTACAAAGCATCTGTCAATTCATCATCACAAGTGGATTACGTCGCGATAATTTTCACATTTCAGATTGTACTTCTTTTTATAGATCGGATAGATGATCCCCATTTTCCGAACGATATAAATTTTCGTCTCATTTATATCTTAGTTAAAAGTGTAGTATTTGCCATCTAATTTGGACAGTTCGGAGGAAATGTTCAGTTTTTGCGCTTATATGCTTGTTTTACTTGTTCAAGAGGTCGACTCCTATCTCTTCATCCCTTATTGTCTATTTTAGGCCAAAAACGGCTTTCTTTATTTTTTTTAATATCAGGGTTCTCGTCTAACCGACAAGACGAATCCAGTCTCAATAGATCGCACGTGGAAACTGCTTTACCAGGTACAACACCCTGCCAGGTACGTAAGTCGTCTACAGACATTTCCGAGTTCCAACATCGAAAATATTATAATACCCATGTTCGTCCGTCTAAAGATCTGGTCTATCGGCAAGGATCGATCCCACCGTAAACCGATAATCTCAACGGAAATAAAGGCGCATGCAACAATCTTAGCAAACTACGATTGCTTAGTAAAGTCACATTGTTTTGAGCCTTTCGACTCTCGGAACTCCAAGAGATATCGTTGCCACCTTTAACTAGAAAGGACATGGCCTTAGAGGGTCCAGGCATAATCCCACGGAGGTAGCTTCGCACCATTACCCGCTCGAGTAAGTGCGTCAACCAAATGTCCTAACCTGCGGTTCTCTCGTATTGAGCAGGATTACTATCGCAACGATGAGTCATCAATAGGGTAAAAATAACCTTTCTCACGACGGTCTAAACCCAGCTCACGGTTCCTGTCTATGGGTAAACAGTCCAACACTTGGTGAATTCTGCTTCGCAGTGATAGGAAGAACCGACATCGAAGGATCAAAAAGCGACGTCGCTATAAACGTTTGGCCGCCACAAGCCAGTTATCCGGTGGTACCTTTTCTGACACCTCTTGCTGAAAACTCTTCAAGCCAAAAGGATCTATAGGCTGTGCTTTTGCAGTCTCTATGCATACTGAACATCAGCATTAAGCCAGCTTTTGCTCTACGCGAGGTTTCTGTCCTCGCTGAGCTGGCCTTAGGACACTTGCATCATTTTTAGACAAAGGTACCGCCCCAGTCAAACTCCCCGCCTGGCAGTGTCCTCGAATCGAATCGGGCTAGCGCTAGCCGGATATCCTAAAGGCAAGCCTTATCGGAACCACGAAACCGACGAACGGCACAACGCAACGAAACGTCATTCCGTGCCCTTGGCTCTGGCTCAAGAATACCGTGACCAGAGAACTACGAACACACACTGCAAACAGAACTACACACACTGCGTTCGTAGTTCTCTGACCGTGACGTTCGTCGCATTGTTAGCGAACGACGCACGCGTTTCGCCTTACCGAGTAAGTAAAAAAACTATGAAAGTAGTGGTATTTCACTGGCGATGTTGCCATCTTCCACTCACACTACACCTGCCATGTCTCCTTACAATGCCAGAATACAGTTATGCTCAACAGGGTCTTCTTTCACCGCTAATTTTTTCAAGCCTGTTCCCTTGGCAATGGTTTCGCTAAATAGTGGGATAGATCTGTTGGTTCGCTAGTTATCTCTCCTTTCTACAAAAACTTATTGGAAGTTGTATTCTTTTAAATTCCATAGAGATTTTCATAAGCCTCTCTTAAATCATTGCTTCGAAGGTTGTGTTCTATTTTCCCGTGTATTTTATATACGTCTCATTTCTGTATAGATCCTTCTGTCATTTTAAAGTCGTTTACTTTAAAATGTATAATGTATCTCTGAATTGTCAATATAAATGAGTAAGATAAAATTAAATTATTAGAAGAATTGTGTCACCAAGTAACAAAAAAAAACAAAATTTGTTTTATTTACTAATGTTTGTATTTTGAGAACGATTTCCGAAGTGTAAATTGAAACGTCAATAAACGTACTTTAACCTTTAATTGTGGCTTATTCCCATTTAATTATTAATTAATTTAAAATGCCACAAGAAAATAGCTTTAGAACAACTTTAAAAACTAAGTAACCAACTGAAATTAAAATTACTAAGAATAAATGCAAACGAAAGTTAAAGATAATAAAATAAAATTGAAAGTTGTAAACCAACGGCAGATCTGTCATTATTTTTGACACAATGTGCATTGTGTACAAAGCATCGTTTGATTATTTTATTTGTGACAGTACGAGATTGTGTTAAAATAAACGATTGGTTAAAGTCTTCGTGAGAGAGATAGCCTGTCATTTCTCTTTATTAACTGACTGGAGTTAAAGTGGTGGGGGAATGTTCCAAGGTAATTCATATAAGTTTCCGGCTCATGGCCAGACACTGCTGATAATTTATTTGGGGAATCCCCGAAATGGTTTTGTATTGTATGTCGTTCTGTATTTGTGCTGTCATTTTGGCATGAGTAAATGTAAAATCCTGTCAATGTCTCAATGACACTGTTTACTTTTACTGAACTACCCGCTTTGCTAAAATCCACAAAACATGTTTTATATTAGATTTTTTTTAAGAATAGTGTCACTGTAACGATGTGGGCATGATCCCTTATTTTCACCAAAATAAAGGTTAGTTTCGTTAGTTTGGTAAAAGTTTTCATTTGATATGTACCTATGTACTATTGAAATTTTGGTAGTAAAAATAAATAACTAAACTTTTATTTTTTTATTTCAGAGAAAATTTAGCAAATGATACGTACTTATTGTCACAAATGGACAACGATCAGTACGTGCCTATATGGACGGTAGCAAATTTCAATCAGGTTAAGAAATTAACCAAAGATATCAAATTGATCACCGAAGTATTACGCGAATCGCCGAATGTTCAAGTAGATGAAGAAGGTTTGAAAGTTCGTCCTAATCACAAAAGATGTATAGTTATTTTACGCGAGATTCCAGACAATACACCCATCGAAGAAGTTAAGGTAAGTGTATCTTAAGTCATACAACATGCATCAATCATACTTTTGAATAATTGTTCCTTTTTAAATGTATTACCAATTGTATGTTGGTGAGGGAAGGTGGGTGAATATCTACTACTTAGACAAAACTGTTACAGACTGTTTGCTATAGCTTTTACAAATTTGAAATTTATAATGTGGAAATTTAGTTATTTCATCAATTTTTTATCGGTTTTCAATACGATATCATCAGCGTACCTTAGATGGTTCAAGCGTTGTCCACAAATTTTTATACCTTTTTCTTCCTATTCTATTCTTTTAAAAGTATCTTCAAGAGCCTGATTGAAAAGTTTCAGTGATATTATCTCACCCTGTCTCACACCTCTATTTGTATTGATTTTGTTCCTTCATATACTTTAATTGTTGTTTTGGCTTCATTATATTTATATTGGCTATTAGTTCCGTATATCTGTGGTCAATTCTGCTGTTAATCAAAGAAATTTTCACTGTCCAATGTTCGACACTGTCGAAAGCCTTTTTGAAATCTATTAACGTCATATATAGAGGAATGTGGTACTCATTTGCTCGTTCTATAAGTATTTTCATACTTAGTAAATGGTCACTTGTGCCGAATCCCTTTCTAAAACCAACTTGTTCTTTCGACTGGTATCCGTCGAATTTTTTCGTCAATCTATTGGTTAAAATTTTAGAAGTAGAGTATTAATTACCACTTTTCCACCATATTTCAGCATCTCTGCAGTTATTCCATCTTTTTCAGGCGATTTGTTGTTTTTCATTTCTTTCAATGCCTTCTTTATTTCTGATTTGCGTATTTCTGACTGTAGCTCTGAGTTGACATTTTTTTATTTTAACCTTAATTTGATTTTTACTTTCTTCTGGTGGTTCCTTTTTTGTTTTATATAATTCTGAGTAGAAATGATGGATTATATTTATGATGTCATCTTTAACGTTTGTTTCTACTCCATTTACATCTTTTATTTTGTTTATTTCAAACTTAACTAATTTCGGCCTTAAGCATTTCATATTTTTGTTGTTCTGTATTACTTGTTCTATTTTTATTTCTTGTTTTTGCTCTTATTTTCTTTTATCCTTCTGCTTATTATTTTATTGATTTCTACATATTCTATAGATTTCTTTTTGCCTTCTTCGTTCAGCTTCCTTCTTTTATCCATAAGCTTCTTTGTTTCTGTTGATATATAGTTGATCCTTTTTTGCTATTTCTTTTCCTGATGTAATCATCGTTGCTGTAAGTATGTTGGCTATTTCGTCTATATCTTTATCGTCACTGTCTAATTTTTGGGTAAGTTGTTCTTTTAATAGGTCTTTGTATATCTCTTTATATTGCTCTAGTTTGTTTCTATCTACTAGATCCCAGTTTCTATGTATTTTTCTTTTCATTTCATAGTTACCGTCAATACTAATTTTTGCCCTGACCATCCTGTGATCGCTACCTGATTTGAATCTGTTAAGAACTGTTACATCTTTAATGATATATCGTTCCGTGGACAGTATGAAGTCGATCTCATTTTTTGTGGATCCATTAGTGCTGATCCATGTCCATTTTCGTTGGGGCTTCTTTTTGTAGAAGGAGTTCATTGCGTATAGATGCTTTTCTTCTAGGTAGTTAATCAAAGTAGCACCTCTATCATTTCTCTGACCATACCCGAAATCTCCTATTTTAGTTTCTTCTTTGTTTAGTTTTCTACCCAGTTTGGCATTGAAATCTCCAATTACTATATAGTGTAAGACGATTTTTATGTTCTTCCATAGCCTTTGATGTATCTTCATACAATAGTTCGATATATTTTTCATCATAAGCTGTCGTGGGGGCATATATCTGGATAATTTTAATTGATGTTCTTATTTTAAGTATGAAATAGACGACACGATCTGATATACCTTTGATAATTTGGACATGCTTACTGATAGCTTTATTTATCATAAATCCTACTCCAAATTTACTATTCGTTTCATTTCCTTTATAATATAGTAGATTACCGGATTTTAGCTGTATTCGATTTTCTTCTTTTCGTCGAGTTTCTGATAGGCCTATGATATCCCATTTTATGTTTGTTAATTCTTCTTCCAGTTCATATACTTTTTCATCTGTGGACATTGATCTAATATTCTATGTCCCTATTATCAGGTTGACGGATTTTTTTTTTATTTATGTTGTGCTCGTCTTAGTGGGTTTTTATTTTTATCTGTCAAAAGCGAATTACTGCCTTCCCCAGATACCGTGAGGCAGACCTTTGAGGTGTGTGGTTCAGAAATTTTCTTACCCACCTGGGGACCATTTCCTTTTATTTTATTATTCGCCATGATAAAAATGGGGGGGGGTAATGTCGGATAAAACACCACGCTTGCCAGGCGGGTTTGTGAGTGAGTTATCAGCCGCCCATTCTGGGTCAAACGCTGTTTGTAGCCGTCCACTCTGGATCAGACGCTACATTTAATTTTATACTAACCCTAAAATTGGGGTTTTCTATCCTTTTCTAATTAACCTAATAGCTTTTCCATAACGTCTACTTTTATTTGTCTGCAGTTAATGTTGTTCCTTTTCAAATTTTCAATTAGAAAAAAGACATTTTGGAAACGGCTATCGCCATATTCCCGTTCTCCTCCGCCGATCCTCCCGTTCCAAGGCATGCTCTTCGTCCAAACCTCTCGATTCCATCGCTCTTCTAATTCCTTCATTCACTGGTTTATTGGCTCTGATAGTCTATTTCCGATTTTTGATAAGTAGTGTTATCCGTGTAAACTTCTGTGATTATTCCTAAAAGGTATGGACTAATGCCGAGTTGTTGTAAATCTTGCCACAATTTAAGTCTTGGAACTGTATCATACGGCTTTTCTAGGTCGATGAAGGCTAGATGTACTTCGGTACCAACCGCTATTCTTTTTTCTAATTGTTGTTGGAGTATAAACAAGTTATCAGTGTAAGATCTACCAGGCGTAAATCCACTTTGTTCTTCACTAATTAGATGTCCTGCATCATCTTGTATTTTTTTTTCTTTTATGATCTTTTCAAACAATCTCCACTCTTATAAAGCTTCTCTTGATTATAATGAATTAGTGATAGCGTTTCAAATTTGAAGGGCAGCATCTAGTACAACTTACACAGGTGATTATTTTTGTATACTTCTTTAATAATTTAATTTGATACAAATACATGTTTGTTATTATATTTTAAGTATTAGAATGAACAGTAAATCTACAAATCTTTATTTTTATGAAAAACAAAGATTACTCATTTTAAAGAGTAACAAATAAACGTACGTACTTATATATTAATACTAATTATCCGTAAATAGCGTCAAACTGCATTTTAATTAGGTTCCAAACATGTTTGTCATTTTTAATCGTATTATCATTATCGAGGAATTATTGGGTGTCTATAAGCTTTAAAAGATTATATTTGAAACCATTATTACTCCTAATACTAAAAATCCAAATAAACCGATTTACCAACAAAGAAACACCGGAAATATTAATATGGATTAATCGTAAATAGGAAAGACTTAGATATAAAAATAAAAACGTTTTTATGCAGGAGAAATTATATACATTTTTTGAATTATGGATGTCCATTAGAAGATCTTAGAAAGGTTCACAAGGTTTACTATCTTTTGTATGAATAATATATAGTCAGAAAAAACTTGATCGAAGTTTTAACTTTTATTTCTAAAATTGTTCATTTCTCAATGCCATAAAATATATTCCTCGTATAACGGTAAAACCTAGTGGTACATTGCAATATTATTTAAATATCGCAATGACGTTTAAAATCGAGAATTTAGCTTTAGATCTCGAAATTATATTGATCTGAATTATTTTTGTAGCAATTAAAATCGTTAGAGGTTTAAAACGAAGACAGCTAAACATTTTTTCACAAAACTCACACACTTTTTTCACACATTTATCAAATATGTTTAAAGTAAGACTTTTTAATTCAATATATAACACCCGAGTGATTCCCACAGATTGGCTCAAATCCATCTTTGTCGCAATACCTAAAAAACACAATGCGAGAAAATGCTCAGAATCGATTAATTAGCATAATGAGCCACACTCTTAAAATTGTCCTAAGAATACTTCACAACAGAATTAAGACGCAAATGCGAAGATCTCGAAGATACCCAATTTAGTTTTAGAAATGCTATGGGAACCAGGGAGGCGGTTTTTGCGCTCAACATCCTATTACAAAAATGCCGTGACCAAAGAAAAGATGTATTTGCATGTTTCGTGGACGAAAAGGCATTCGATAAAGTACAGCATGTAAAATTAAGGCAACTACTGAAAAATATCGGAATAGATGACAAAAGATATTCGTGTCATTAAAAATTTGTACTGGAATCAAACTGCTATCGTAAACATTGGAGATAACTACACCGATGAAATCTCCATACAACGAGGAGTCAGACAAGGTTGCATTTTATCGCCAACATTGTTGAATGTTTACTCAAACCAGTTATTTAAAAAGGCATTTGAGAAACAACCATAAGGAATAAAAATCAACGGGGAACTACTTGATGTGATTAGATATGCAGACGATACAGTAATTATGTCTGATAATAAAGTGTTATGTTTGGTCCGTACTTTTGTATAGTGCAGAAGTGTGGACGCTAAAAGTATCGCTCATGAAAAAAATTGAAGCATTGGAAATGTGAGTTCATAGACGAATGCTGAAGATACCTTGGACAGTAAGAAAAACTAATGAAGAAGTACTAAGGATAGAGACAACAGGATAACAAAGATAGAGAACTGCTAATGACTGTTAAACATTGAAAAATGTCTTATCTGGGACATATAGTAAGGGGAAGTCGATATAAAATATTACAACTGATCCTTAAAGGCAAAATAGAGGGCCGTAGAGGTGTAGGAAGGAAACGGGTTTCTTGGTTGACGAACATTAGTGAATGGACTGGTTCTGATATGGCACGCGAAGAAGAAGTTCAAAGTCAAAATTCAAACACGAATATAGCCGCTAATTTATATTTCTT